GAGCGCCGCCGCGCTTCCCAAGCGGCGCACTGTAGCAGTGCGCCACCGGGCCGGCCCACCATTTGTGTATCTTTAAAGAAATGTCTATTCAAGTCCTTTGCCCATTTTTAAACTTTTTTGTTTTGTTTTGTGGTTGAGTTGTAGGAGTTTTTTATATATTCTGGATATTAATTCCTCATCCGATATGCAGTTTGTAACTATTTTGTGCCATTTGGTGAGGTGCCTTTTCACTGTGTTGATAGTACCCTGTGATGCACAAAAATTCTTAATTTTGATGAAGTCCAGTTTATATAATTTATCTGTCACTTACCTTTGTGCCTTAAAAAAAGAAAGAAAAACCATCTTGTACTGGTTTTATGGAAGCAAACTCATCTTTTATTTGTGAGGGTGATGATCAGAGTTCTTTTGTTTTCTTTTTTCTTTGCATGTGTTGTCTGAGTGTCTCCCAAGGTTTCTTCTCTTCTCTGTCTTTACTGTTTGTTTTGGTCTCTCTCATTAACATTGAAGGCTTTTGTCAAATATCTGGGGATCCGTGGCTTTCCTCGGGGGTAGTTTTTTTCCAAAGAGAGAGACTCTTTCCTGAGGAGAAGACGGAATAATGGCCCCACAGTGTCCACATCCTCATCCGGAGACCTGTGACCATCCCCAGTCCTGATCCCAATCCCCAGACCTATGACTACATTAGTTTACATGGCAAAAGAGTCATTACAGATGCGATGAAGATTAAAGACTTTGAATGGGGAGATTATCCCGGATTATCCCAGTGGTTCCCATCTACTCATGAGTCTTCACAAGGGCAGAACTGGAGAGACGGCAGCGGGGAAGGACTTCTCTGCCACTGCGGGCTTGAGGATGAGGTGGGGGCCACAGCCGAGGAAGGGTGGGGGTCTCCGGAAGCTGGAACAGGCAGGGACGATTCTCCCAGGAGCCTGCAGAAGAACCACCCTGGGAACACCTTGAAGTTAGCCCCGTGAGACCCGCGTCAGACATCTGCCCTGCAGGGCTGCGGGATAAGTGGCCTGCAGGGGCCAGCAGCCGCCAGACAGGCCAGTTTGTGCCAGAGCCACCGAGGTGCCCTCACGGCTGGGGAGGAGGGGTGCTTCTGGGGGCCGCCACAGTCTGTTCCCAGGCTTGGCTACAGAAGTGCGTACTTTTGGTGGAAGTTGGTTGACTGCACACTTAGGATACGTGCAGTTTTCTGTGTCATACTTTAATAAAAAGGTGTGTTTGCGTGCGTGGGAGAGACACGGACAGGGAGAAAGAGAAAAGAGAGAGAGAGATGGAGGGAGACAGAGAGAGAAAAGAGGGACAGAGAGAGAGACAGAGACAGAGGGAGAAAGAAAGAAAAGAGAGAGACAGAGAAAGAGGGAGGGACAGAGACAGAGAGAGAGAGAGACAGACAGACAGCGACAGAGAGACAGACAGAGGGGGAGAAAGAGAAGGGGAGGGAGTGGAACAGTAAATACGTGACAGAGCTGGGGAGATCAGACCTAAGCATCTGCAAGGTTGCTGAGCCCTTTGTCGGTGGCTGCAGCCCCGGCAGGCTCCTGGAGGGGGCAGCAGACGCCGTCCCATCTGGGGAAACCAGGCCGCGATGCCTGTGCAGGTTGCTAGCCCGTGTTGCCAGGTGCAGGCTGCAGCGGTGCTGCGCACGCTTCTGCCAAAGGCTGTGCGAGTGAGCGCGGGTGGACGGCTTGCTGTGGCATATCTATGGGCTAGAAGGCATCAGAGTATCCCTTCCATGTACCCCCTTATCTCTTCCACTGACACCCTTCCTAGCTTGACTCTGAGGTCCACTCAGCTCAAAGGCAGAAAGGCCCAGTTGTCAGTCCGTTTTCTATTTACCCACTCATTCATCAGTCCAAACATCCATGCACCCTCTCGTCCGTCCATGCAAACATTCACCCATCCAAACATCTACCCACCCCTCCATCCATCCACCCATCCACCCACCCATCCACCTCTGTCTGTGCTCTGAGGTGAGCCCCACCCTGCTGCCACCCACACCGCTCCAGGGACCAGTAGTAAAAATCTTCCGGCTCTAGTGCCTACGGGTCTGGGTTGGAGGGATGTGCAGCCATCTGCTGCGTGACTGCAGTAGAGTCTCGGCCCTCCCCCAGCCTCCTCTGCCTGTATGTAAAATAACCGCACTGGCTGGCTGGGGTTCCTCTCATCACCAGGTCCCAGGTGTTTGTGACAATATCGGCTTTTCTCCACCCACCTCGAACACCCTTGTCCAAGCCCCACCATTGCTTGTCTAATCTCTGCAACGCCCTCCTCCCTGGCTTCCCATCCTGCTGCTGTTTCCAATCAACAGCTGCCAAGACCTTAAAATGTAAGTCACATCTCATCACCGTCCTGGTTAACATCATTCAGCCCCATGTCCATGGCGCTTACCACCAGGTTCAAAGCTTTCATGTAGCCTGGGAGCTACTGCCTGAGTCGGCTCTAGCTGCCTCTCCTCCCCTGTCTCCTGCGCTTCTCTCAGAGCTCGTCCAGCAGCTGCTGCCTCAGGACCTTTGCACGTGCTGCTCCCTGTGCCTGATCTGTCCTGCCTCCCTGCAGGGTTTTATATTTCTGGCTCCTCATTGCTCAGGTCCCAAGGGGCTTCCCTGACCAGCATTGTCACTCTCAGTCACTCATGCCCCCTGCTATATTTTTATCAGCACCTTTTCTTCTTCTGAAATTATCTGGTTCTGGGATCATTTTCTGGCTCAGCATCTGATTCCCTCTGTGAGAATGTCATCCCTGGGGGAAGGGGCAGTGTCTGCTTCATTCACCGCTCATTTCCTTGTTTCTCACGCGTCCTAAGAGCTCAAGAACTGCTTGTTGAATGTTGCATGAATGAATGTTTGTGAGGTCTGGGTTCCAGATTCGGTTTAGGTGTTAAGAAGTCCTGTGACCTTGGTCAAGAGCCTGTCTCCTCATCTGTCAAATGGGGCTAAAGATCTCCATCCTGTGCCCTCACAGTTTTCTGGGAGGAACCGTGGAGATGGGAGGGTAGAGGGGGAGATTCCTGTGATGTCGATCCTGGGGCGCTGTCCTCCCCAGGCCCTTACAGAAAGATGTTCTCGACCGCTAGGCATCAGCCTAGCCAGGGCATCGTGAGCACTTTGGAGCCTGAGCTTGTGCTGGGCTGCTGAGCTTTTCTAGTGAGTGCGGGAGCATCGGCACTGGGGGACGCCCGAAGCCTGTGCTGGCCTGGGCAGAGCTCTCCCTCCCTGGTCTAGGAGGTGTGAGGAAGTCGAGGCTGCACTGAGTGTCTCTTACGCACGTCCCAGCTCGAAGGGCTGCACTGCCCTGCGGACATTTTGTGTTGAAATGGCTTTTCTTTTCTAAAGTGATGGTGATGATATGAGGTGGTTTTAAAAAGTCCCCACTTGCCCAAATGAAAACACTGGCAACCCAAGGCTGGTCTCCAAATGGTTTTGGGAAAATTTTAGGTCTATGGAATCCTAAATACCAGTCTGTTGGGTTGTGGGACCAGGGATTTGGATTTGGGGGTGTGGAAGAGGCTGCTGAGAAGGTGTGACCCTTGTTCTCCATCCCAACACATACACACAGAGGAACACATACATTGAGCACACGTGTGCATGCACAAAAAGCACTTACAAACACATACAAGCACATATGCACACACGCAAAGGCAAACACACATGTATGCATGCTCGTGGGATGCACACATGCACAAACACACACACACACCTCATACACACATGTGCACGCACACATAGGCACATGTGCACTCACACAAACTCACGCACACATGCATGTGCGCACACATACACACAAGCAGGTGCACACAAGCAAATGCCAACATGCACACAAAGCACATGCAAATACACATACACACAGGGGCACACACACATGCATGCACATGTGTATGTGCAGACACAAGTGAGTGCAAACACATGCATACACACACGTGTACTCGCACACACCCACAAGGAGATGATGTTCCAGGAACATTTCAAACAACTCATGTCTCTGGCACCAAAGGAAACAGATGCCTCTCAGTCATTCCTGAATGTGCTGCAAAACCCATGGGACGTTGGGGACAGCCTTTTGAGTTTCCTCTGGCAAAGGGCACGCGGAGAGCATTCAAGTAAGGGAAGTGTGTATTCAAGTTTATTTAGATGAATGTTCAGCCACAGTCCTCTGTGGATTTGTATACATTCACTTTTTAAAAAATTGTTTCCATAAAAGGATTTTTGGTAATCACCTAATTTTTAATACAATACTTATATACAAAACCCCATTTCAAACTACTTACTGTACAAGAGAAAATAGAAGCATCAGATCGCATCATTTCAGCAAATAATGAAAATTTATGACACCTGTGGACTTCAGTCACAGTCAGCGGATTGCAGGAATGTCAACATCACACCAGTGGCATGGTCATGACCAACACATTTATGTTTTTTCTCCCTGCCTTGGGTGAAATGTTTCTTTTTATGTTTCTCTTGGTGCTTGGGAAATTTCACATAATTGGTTATGATAATTGCTACAAATTTAGATCACTCGTATCACTTAGGAAACTTTTTACAAGCTTTTAAAATAATTGTCCAACAGTGACATTCCTGTGAGTAAAAATATAGAGAAGTGTTACCAAAATAGAAGCCTTTATTAATAAAAATCTTTGGTAGTAACAGTATTTTAAATTCCTCTCAATGATATTGGTTAACTAATAAAATAAACTCCTTCCACCTTTGAGCTACAGAAAAAAAAAAAGATCCTCAAAGCCACCACATCATTGATTTAAAAAGAAACACAAACAATAAATATTCAAAAGCTTTGAATGAACCCCCGGAAGCCTTAAGACTTCTTGAAACCTTTAAGCCATCGCTAGAAAAGCTTTCAAGGTCATCTTCCTGCCCGTTCTCCCGTCAACTCGTTTTTGTCTCACAAGGAAGATGAACAAACCTGAGATCAGCTCCGTGGGACGGGGCAGGTGTGTGGCTGAAGGTGTGGACTGCTGGGGACACCTGCACCCTCTCGTCCAAGAACAGACTGGAAATTCCCATGCCCTCCGTGTGGGCAGGGCTGGCACCTCTCTTTCTGACCACAGTGTCTCAGCTTCTGAACTTCCAGAAGGAAAAGATGGTTAGAGTCGTCCTGCTTTTCCGACAGAGAGGCAGGTGACGCCTTTTGGAACCAGAGTCACATCGTGTGTTCCTTCTCGGTTCCTCCGCTCTCCCTGACCTGTCGCACCAGCTTTGGCTCGATGCCGTGGAATACCATTTTGCATCTACATTAAGGCATCAGGAGATTAAAAAGGAAGATTTCTAGGGGTCCCCGCTCACTTTCCACTGCGAAGGAGACTCAAGATTTCCAAGAGTCGTTTCTGCAAAACACCTGCCTTTGCCACACATTATTGCCTGTCACCAGCCATCATTTTGATTCACCTTAAACACTAAGGATTAAAAAAATTCCCTGCATAATGGTTTTGTGCAAAAACAAGGCAGAACAAAACAAAACAGAAAGAAGAGAGAAAAATGTCCCATCAGAAAATGGTCCTCCATGTTTGCAGAAAACACAGTGGCCACCAGGCGCTGGTCGGGACGAGAAGCTGCTTGCTCAGCCCTGCCGTGGCAGCTACAGAACAACCCCGTGGTACCCGGGGCTGGGAGCCGGGCTGCCACCGGGGCTGTCCGGGCTGGCTCTGGGCTTGTGGTTGCTGCACGGCTCCTCCTTCTTGTGCCCCTTCTCCATCCACGTGTCCAGTAGCTGCTGCTTGCCCTGCTCCTCCCGCATGAACAGCTCCACCATGAGCACCTTCTCCTTGTGGATCTGCTGGCTGATGTCCTTGGGGATGTCTGGGATGACCCAGTCCACGAAGTCACTCATAAACATGACCAGGTTCTGGAAGGAACAGAAATCAGCCCGTGGGGGCGGGAAAGACCATGCTGGACCTCTCTCCCTGCCACCCACTTCCTTCCCCCCCCCCCCCACGGAGCCACTCCTTGACCCTGTGGCCTCAGCCATGCCCTTTGACCTCCTTGGGCCTCAGTTTCCCAGAAGGTATAAAGGAGGCATGGAACCACGCAGCAGGCCCTTGGGAAATGTTTGCTGACTTTCTTGAACAAATCTGAACTCAATAATTAGGAAAATTCTCTGAAAAATTTTGAATTTCTTAACCAGGAGGCTTGAGAAGCGATCTTAAACCTCCCGGTGACGGGATGTGTCACCAAATATACATAACAACAAGCACCGAGGCTTTAAGGAAAATAATTAAAATAGAAATAGCACCAAAATGGATTGAACTCCAAGGGTCTCTGCCAACCCAGGAGGCCCTTCTGCAGTGTGCAAAGCCCCCAGAACCACCCAGAACAACTGCCACCTCAATGGGGAAATTTCCAGTGTACAGAATTTGAGATAAATCAGTCTTTACAGAAAAACCAAAATTAGGGGCTTGCCCGTGGCTCACTCGGGAGAGTGTGGTGCTGATAACACCAAGGCCACGGGTTCGGATCCCATATAGGGATGGCCGGTTGGCTCACTGGGAGAGCGTGGTGCTGACAACACCAAGTCAAGGGTTAAGATCCCCTCACCGGTCATCTTTATTAAAAAAAAAAGAAAAACCAAAATCGTGTTGTTAAACTTGTGTCCAGTGAGCGTTTGTCAGCCCCTGTGGCTGGCTTAGTTGCCTGCTGTCATGGATGATGCTGGTGCCCCCCAGGTCGGCCCCCTCTCCAGGCTGGTGCTTAAGTCCCCAGCTGTGGCTGGGGTTGGCTGTGAACACTCAGGGCAGTGGAACTTACACCCCCTCCCGTGTCTCTCGTCCTAGTCTGGAGAGCCTGAAGCCAGTGACCCACCCATCTGGGCAGACAAAAGGGGCCGTCTTGCCTTCAGGTGGGCCCAGGTCTGCTGCATGGTTCATGCTCTGGAGCTCTCGGGACCAGGTTGAAGCTGTCTCCAGCCGAGTCCCCTCCTCACTGAGTCCCTGCCCCTACTCCAGCTTCCTTCCCTCAGTAACTCACTTGCACAGAACCCTCGTCTCAGGCTATGCTTCTGGGGAACCCAGCCCCAGACACCTCTTGTACTGATGGCTGTGAACAGCTGAGGCAGGAGGCAGCTGAGCCCAGAGAAGCAGAAGGGCGTGCCGAGACCACATGAATGGGGAGGACAGGGATGGGACTCAAACCCAGTGCTGGGTATTCCAGGCTCAGAACTCTTGGCCCTTGGCCTTCCTGGATGGACTCACTCGATGCTAGAGAGCACACGTGACCAGAGCCTTGGCAGTGCCACATGGCTCAGGGCCTCCTCCTGGGGTCCTCAGCTGCCATGCACACCAGCTGGCTCCCAGGTCTGGGGTCCTGCTCCACTGGGAGTCCCTCTGAGCTCACAGGGTGAGCCCAGTCCCCCTCCCCAGAGACTGAGCCGGGTAGTGCTGGCCAGGGGCTGGAGCCATCTGAGAGCCACTGCCCTGCTGTCTGTAGTGGCCCTGTCTGATATAGAGACAGTGAGAGATCGAGAGTGGGACAGAGGTGGGGTCTCCCCTTGCTCCGCGTGTCCTTCAGTAATGATCACTTATATTGAATTAAACCTGCCCTTCCCCACGAGTCCAAATCCTTCCCCCCACGCTCATCCAGCCCCTCCCTCAGCCTTCCCTTTTCTCATGAGGTTCTCTTGGGCCCTTTTGCTGCATGGGCCTTGTGGGGGGGACCTGGGGACCAGGACCCCCTCCTCCTGTGTCACAGAGCAAGTAGCGCCTGCCTTCCTGACCATGGGCACAGAGCGTTTCCTTAGTGCCCTGATTCTCAAACCCACCGTACCTGGAAGACGATGACAAAGGCCAGCCGGGCTGCCAGGACAGCCCAGAAGTCCTTGGAGATGTCGTACTTGTGTTCCGACCACGGGGGCTCCCGGTAATCTTTGTACCTGCAACAGATGGCCGGGAATCAAGGGCAGGTCTTCAAGTGGAACTTGGGGTTCTGGCCAGTGCCAGGGAGCTTGAGAGGAAGCACTGGGGAGCCTGAGCCTGGTTCTGTGGCCCCCTCCAGGCAGGCAGCCCTCCGCTGGGCAGGACACCCACAGCCCCACCCTCNGCCCAGAAGTCCTTGGAGATGTCGTACTTGTGTTCCGACCACGGGGGCTCCCGGTAATCTTTGTACCTGCAACAGATGGCCGGGAATCAAGGGCAGGTCTTCAAGTGGAACTTGGGGTTCTGGCCAGTGCCAGGGAGCTTGAGAGGAAGCACTGGGGAGCCTGAGCCTGGTTCTGTGGCCCCCTCCAGGCAGGCAGCCCTCCGCTGGGCAGGACACCCACAGCCCCACCCTCCCACACTGCCCAGAGGTCTCTCTCCACCACGCACCAGGCAGGGCCCAAGAAGATTCATGTAAGACACAGACTCCAAAGTAGCCCTGTAGACCTATCCGTGGGCTCTCAGAATTGTGTGCTGGGACCATCTGATGCAGGAGGTTCCAAATTTTAAAAAGCAGCTGAGCCCCTTTTCAAAATAGAAATCTCACCCGAAACCCCAATAGGTCCCAAAGAGAGCCGGCCTCCCTAAGCCTGAAACCTCAACCTTGACCTCAGCCCAACTCCCAACCCCCCCCAAAACCCCAGGCTGGGTCCCACGAATCACAGTTTGAAAACCACCTGTCCAGTCTATCTCCTCTTTGGGGGAAACCATTGAGAAAAAAAACCTAACCATTTTATCAAAGTAGCCCACATATGAGATTCAACATACAGCTGATATGGGGGGCGCCCTCCCCACCCTGGTCTGGGCCTCCTTTCCTCTCTCCAGCTGCCGTTTATCTCTAAATAATACACATCTACCCCTAGCTCCGGAGTTATTGGTGTTGGGCACTGCCTACTGATCTCCTGCTTGGAGAGACAAACTCACGCACGCTCCCCTCTCCCCTGAGGCCCTGCCACGGTCCTTGGTTCTTCCCTGGAATATGAGTGGCCTTCTATGAAAGAGACGCCCCCTTACTTCTGGTCCATCCGCTACGGCTCTCTCTGAACTCCTGCCAGGCCAGCAGGAGTGACAGGCACCTGCCTGTGTTCAGTCCCCCCTCAGCCCCCTCCAGACCCTTCCTCCTTTACACAGAGACCCAGAGATGCCCAGAGTCTGGGGGTGCAGAGTGAGGTCCTGTCTCTCCCTAAGGCCCCCTGCATCCACTGCTCCTGGAATCCGGGGGATGCCACACATGGCTGGGGCTTGGCTGTAATGCAGTTGGCACCCCACCCTGTATTGGAAAAGCTTCTCAAAGCTGGTCAGAAAAAGCCCATGCCAGGGGCAGGGTTTCCAGGTGCTCAGCTACAGGTGTGTCCCCTGCTGGTCACTGAAAGCTGAGGTTCCAGAGGTTGTAGCCAGAATAGGCTCCTGGCTCTGCAGGCACAGCCCCAGCCTGGACCCCCACCCTGGTGCCTGGCCTACATGGACTACCCCCTTGCTGTGTGTCCCTGGGCAATCACTTGGCCTCTTTGGGCCTCCACTGGGCATTCCCTCATTTACTCATGTCGTAAGCATCTATTGAGAAGCTACTACGTGACAGACCCCATTCTAGGGGTGGCGATTCAATGGGAAATGCGACAGATAGGGCCCCTCACCCGTGGAGCTTTATTTCTAGAGGGAGCTGGCTGGAGTCTCTGAGGGCCCGCTCAGTGCTAAGCTGCCAACCCCCGAGATAGGATCGGGCTGGGAACACACTCCGGTGCCAGCTGCTGTGCCATGCAGCGGTTGCACAACCTGCCTTCTGATGGGAACAAGCAGCCCTGGTTCTTCCCATGTGAGAAGCAGCACATGCCTATTCCTCTGTCGTCTTCTTCTGTGCTCAAGGCCAGCGGCACTGGGAAGCTGGGAAATGTGTTTGAGTCACCTGGCAAACTCCTGTGCATCCCTCATAGCCCACTTACAACTGTCCAGACGTCACCTCCCACCACCTGTACTGACCACTATCAGAGATGATTTTTTTGTTTTTTTCCTTGCATAGCTCTGATACTCAGCCTGCCAGCTCCCCCAGGGAGGATATAATGCCCTCTCTGGGGGTGGATGTGAGGATTAAATGAGACAGTGCCTGTGTTACTGCAAGAACAAATGGCAGCCAGCTGCGATCACTGCTCTCAGCTCTGCCAGTGCTGCCTCTGCCACACCCGCGGCCTGGGCCAGACCAGGTGCTGTTCCTCTGGCAGGTGCTTTGATGTAGGTGCGGCTGGTGGAGGTGGGGAGCTCACAGTACCTGCAGCACAAGATCGTGGCCAAGGGACCATGGTGGGCGGCTTGTTGAACCCTGGAGCCCGGGGAGTGGAGTGGCAGGACCCACAGTCTTCTGTCTCCACGGAGGGGAAAGTGACAAGACTCTTAAAAACGGGGTCTGTGCCCCATGCTCTTGGCCTCTTCCCTGTGAGGCTGGGACTCCCTGATGCACGGGAGGCCAGAGCTGCTTCCTTAAGCAGTGGCTGGGACCCTACGACCCGCGTCCTTCCTGACAACCCTATAAACACCAACGCTGAACATCTTGAGGGAATTTCTAGTCAATTGAACCATATATTTCTCTGTCTTCCTTTTTTGTTAATCTCCCTTCTTCGAAAATTCACTTTTCATTAAGTAGATAAAGCTTGAATGTGTTCTTGCTGTGGAACGTTTAAATGATACAAGCAGGTGCTGTGTCGTCCGACTGGGGCAGAGCCCTGGACGGGACGCTCAGGGAGGGGGATTCTGTCCCAGCACCTGGGGCCTCCTGCCGGCGGGGAGGCGTCTCCTGTCCCCTCGCCTTGACGCCCAGCTCCCCAGCGCAGCCCTTCCTCGAGATGACCAAGTGACGCCACAGAGGATCACTCGGGGCCTTTCCTACAAATCACACACCCACGTGTGCCCGTCGCTGCGTGCGCTGGCGGGACTTTTGAGGCTGGCCACGTGCTGGGCTGTGTGTCTGTCTCGCCACTC